TGGAGTCATTGGAGTCACTGCGTGCGCGCTCGATCGTCAGATTAAGCAATACTTTAACGCAGTCAGAACATGGTTGGGGATGACTGGCATACTGTTTCGGATTCAAAATTATCGAGAAAGGAAGGATTCGCGAAAGTTTTAGAGTGTATTTGACAATCTTCGGTTTGTAGCAGTTATGAGACATGAGAAAATTAGGAATTCGTTTTTTTTTTATGAAAGCTATACGGAAAACTTTTAAGCGAACATTCTTACATTATATCAAGGTTTGTACAATGTTGATTCAATGTTTTCAATGTTACTGTAATATTGATATTGTTGCAATTCAACATTCTTTTAATATTGATTCAACGTTACTGTGCTGTTTGGGATATGATTTAAATCTGATTATTACGCTTCTTATATATGCTATATAGGAAGCGTAATAATCAGATTTGAATCATATATAACGTTATATCTGATTATTGTTGCTTTGTAAACTTTGCTCGACACTAACAGCATTTTCCTCAGCACTACTGTTTTCACCTTCAATTTTTTTATTTTTAAACAACACTTCCACTGCTATCTCACGACAATTGTCGTTCAACTGGATGATTAAAACAATAACGTTCGATAGGCAAGCTGAAAGTTCTTTTCCATCACCCTTCCACTATACAATGCGCGTGAAAGAAATGGGTACGCAGATAGCAAAAATGATACTGTTAGGCCGTTTGATAGGGCGAATGATAATATTGGGATGATAATTGGCTAATTCATATATTAATAATTTATTTTATTTCATATTTAAAAAAAAAATTTAAAAAATTGCTTAATCCAGCCGAAATCGAACGCACGACATCGACTGTTTTAGCCATTTTACTTACTCGCTGCGCCACGCTGGCTACTTGAATTTTTCTTTTACTTAAGTGGTACTCTGGGCGCACGAAAAACTTTCAACACCGATTTCTCGTTAACTACTCTACTGAAAAATTTTTGTTGAGATAACAAAAGAATCCCCAATTCAATTCTCAGTTGAATTCTCAATTGAATTCTCAAATGCCGTTTCCGCAAAAATTCGCATGTAAGATTTCAATTGAGATATTTGTATCTA